TCGTTCGACCGCCCTTGCGCGCGCGCGCCGTCGCGAGAATCCTTTGCGCGTCGTCGCGCGCGCATGCCGAACTTCGGTTTCGGAAGGATTTCAAAAGTGAGTATCCCAAAAAAACATGTCTTATGCATGTGTTCATTTGTTTCTTTTTGAACATAGTGTCACAACACGGATTTCCAACAAAAGCGTGCGCGCGTTTGCGAATTCTTGGGGCAACCGTGGATGTTTCAAGATGTCCCTAAAATGCTACCAAAGGGGCTTCGCGCGCGCAGGTCGAAATCGTTCGAATGCTCTTGCGCGCGTGCTGGGGTGGCACGATTCCACTTCGCGTCTCTCCGACCGAAATCAGGTGAGAAGGTTTGTTGTTCTACCTCATGTGCCCCCCCGTCCCCTGTGTTTTTGTTATATATGTTGCTCCCCTCGCTTTCCATTCACACCAGTGTCATGTTTCCTTTTCCACCTTACTTTTCCCACTGTGTCCTGTGATTCTGTCGTTTTCAAATATGTGTTTAGCGCAGGTGGGTGAAAAGTCGAGGTCGAAGAAAAGTCTCGATGAGGCGAGGGGCGGGAGGCGGAGGAGGAAAAGACGAGGAGGAGGAGGACCAGAAGAAATCCAAGATGCATCCACGATGCCGCTGTGTACAGCTCCCGTCCCAGACTCCGTCGTCACAGGATCCCGAAGATAAGCCTTTCACTGCGCAGCGCGCCTCCTGTGGAAAACAAGCCCCCAATGGCCCATGGGCCTGCCATGCGGGCGAAGTCTCGGATTTGTGTATGATCTGCCTCCTCCTCTTCCTCCTGCTCCTCCTCCTCCTCCTCCTCCTCCTCCTCCTCCTCCTCTTCCTCATACTGAGTGGGCGAAACTCGAGGCTGGCTTCTTAATTCTACAGATGTTGAGTTTCCACTTCGGCGGCAACAACAAGGAATGCTTCCTGGGGCGCTGCGACCCCCTGCCCCGCCTAGTCCCTCGCCGGGGACTCTTGCGCGCGGACTCTGTCAGTCGGTCTGTCTGTCTGTGCGTCTGTCTGCCATGCATCTTTCGGCTGGAGGAAATCGAAGGAAGCGTGGCCACAAGGTTCAGGAAGGGTCAAGCGAGAGCCCAGCTTGTGAAGAAAACCGACCTCAATCCGTGCTACCGTTGCACAACGATGCGCTCTTCGTAACGGCATCAGAGGGAGTCTCGGGCGAGAGCTCCGTTTCGAAAAGATGTTGCCGTTCAATCGTGCGTTTGCTGCACAGTGTTGAGCGCATGGATACAAATCCCGAGGAGTTCTCAAGCGACATCCCCGATTCGATCAGTAATGTGGGCGACTCTTTTCCGTGTAACGTTGCAAACTATATACAGCCACATTTGCTCATAAGGACATGCCTCTTCGGCCTATCCTTAGCCGTTTGCGCTGGCCAGCCTCTCAGGGTACCCTTGGGGCTGGCGGCATCCTTAGACTGCGCGGGCGACGCTCCATTGGTAAAGAGCCCTGAGGACACTGTCCTGCACGTCGAGCCCATCGTCGTGACCGATAGGTGAGAAGAGCGTATGACGTGGCCGTGGCCTTCTTGTGCTTCAGTCTCAAATGCTCTTGCGACATCGCCGGCACTCACGCCGGCAGCCGCCACGACGCGTTGATACAGGGCCCCGTTCCCGAGGGTCACGCTCAGCCGCGTTGCGAAGGTCAAGTTTCCGAAGCCGCCAACATTGTCCGAGGCGGACGTGCTCTCCAAGCTCACCCACCCACGCGGCTCATGGGCCCAGCTGATCTGTTTTATATACCTCCGCCACTTGCGCAGCTGCGCAGCCACAGTTTCATCGGCACGTTCCACGCCTTAGAGCCCTTGCCCCATTACGATTACGCTCTGGGCCACTCGCCTTCTGCGCCGTGCGTGGTATGGCGTGCCGCCGTCGGGGCTGGCAGTCTGCGGGCAGACCATCCTGATTTCGAGGGCTATCTTCACGCCCGCCATCCCCGCAGAGGCGCCTACCAGCAGGAGCCCGCGACATTCGGTGGCCAAATACGGGAGCTTCTCTTCGACCCAATGAGTCTTGAAGTTATGGCTCAATGTGATTTAGTTGGGTATCTGGTGGGTGCTCACGTGGGATCTAGTGTGAGTTGGGGGGGTCGCACGTAGCATCCAGCGGGATCTAGAGTCCACACGAAATATCAGGAGCTGGGCGCTCGTGCGACTATATGTGAGGCTCCCATGCCTGGCCGCCTAAGCGACGGACGCCAAACACGGCAGTGTGACGAGCGCCCTTGCGCCCAGTGCTGCACCCGGGCACGGCGGGAGGCCTCCAGCTCGGAGGAGGGCCAGTCGAGACAGCAGCGGCTTTCCTTTTGCGTGCTTCGTCCCTTTTGGGCCTCCTCGTGGGCTTCTCGTCGCCACGGCTGGATCCGCTTCGGAGAACGGGTCAGGACGGACCCCGGGATGGGTTCGGGAACCGATTTCGAGCATATTTGGGCCAGGTGGGAGAGCCGCCGCTGTCTCAACTAGCCCTCCGACGACCAGCGCCTTCAGAATGCGCACCAACTTGGCCAGCTCCGCCTCCAGGTCGCCGCCGGAGTCGCTCTCGCACGACCCGGCCCAGCGGCCGCCACGGCCTTGGCTTCCGCACGCCGCTTCGAGAGCTTCTCGGCATCCTCGAGCTACGGCGCCGCGTTCACGCCGTCATCCTAAACAGAGCGTTCTGGGCTCAAGCTCGAGCTTCGCGTCGGCCGTGTGCGTCATCACCTTGGCGACCATGGCCTGCTTCGGGCTCACGCCTATGCCGCAATGCTCGATCAGTCTTGTTTGCCATCATATCGGCACAAACTAGTCAACGTGTTCCAGCATAGCACCCTCATGAGGATCAGCCACTGTCCCTGCATCACCAGATGCTCCCACTGGGGCCAGCTGGTACTGTCAAGAACGACACAATTTGAGGGCTGTCATTGGCAACGCTTTACGCTGGTACTGCCACGCGGGCAGGGCAAGAGAACAACCATCAGGCCGCTCGGAGCCAGGGCGGGGAAGGCAGGGGCCTCCGCGAGCGGGGCCAGCTTCCGCGGCCGTTGTGCTGCTCGAGTCGGGGGAGGAGGTCACGAGGCCGCGAGTTGGACCAAAAGGGCGACGGAGGAGGAGGCGGAGGAGGTGGCAGAGGAGGAGGAGGAGGAGGAGGAGGCGGAGGTCGCCTTAGGCAGGCCTGCTCCCTACTGTAACTGTAGCTGATTCCCTTCTGTCCACCTCTTCTGTTGTTGTTGTTGTGTGTTCACATGTTTCAGGTGATTATCCGTCTTCCTCCCTCCACCTCAGCGGCAGGCACCGTTTTCCTGCGCCCTCTCTGGGTACTCTGCTGCTCTTGTATTTTATGCCCTTCCTAAACCGCACGGGCTTGCCGCCTGATTCAGAAGTCGTCATTGCGCTAAGTCTGCTTTTGCACCAGCAGGACGCTCCAGCCTAGAAGCTTAAGTTTGCCAAGCGTTCAAAAGAGGAAGAGGAGAAGGAAGAGCAGGAGGAGGAGGAGCATCAGCAGGAAGAGGGTGAAGGGAAGGAGGAGGTGGAGGAGGAGGAGAATATGTAGGAGATGTAGGAGGAGGAGGAGACGGAGGAGGAGGAGGAGGAGGAGGAGGAGGAGGAGCATGAGGAGGAGGAGAGGAGGAGGAGGAGGAGAAGGAGAAGGAGGAGGATCAGAGCCCCCTAGAATTTTCATACCCCTTCCCCTCCTCTCCTTTCTCCCCCCCGTCCGTCCCTTCCTCCCTCCCTCGTCTCCTCCTCCTCCACCACCTCCTCCTCCGCCTCCTCATCCTCGTTCCCCCTCCTCCTCCTCCTCCTCCTCCTCCTCCTCCGCCTCCTCCTCCGTCTCTCCATTGTCTTCCCTATGTGTCCATCCCTCTTTTCCATCCTTGTTCTCATACATAGTTATTCCCTGTCGCACCCCCAGACGCGTCGGTAGGGCTGGCCGGGCGTTTCGCCTGAGACTTCCGGGTCATGTGTGACCCTGACGCTTGAAAGTTGCCCATTTCACGGATGGAAGGCGGGCTATTTTCAAAATGTGGTTCTCCCTCCAGCGCCGCGCACCTTCGCTTTCAAAGTTTGCAACAGCTTCACGGATGCAGGGCGGATGGTTTTGAAAATGTGGCTCTCGCAGTAGCGCCGCGCACATTCGGTTCAAAAGCTTGCACGAGCTTCACAGATGGATGGAGGTTGGTTTGGAAATGTAGCTCTCGCTTTAGCGCCGCGCCCATTCGTTGTTAAACGGTTGTAACGGCTTCACGGATGGAGGGCGGGTGGTTTTCACAACGTGGTTCTCGCATAAGTGTTGCGCATGTTCGGTGTGAAGGTTTGCAGTCGGTTCGTTGATGGAGGGTGGCTCCTTCTTTAAAATATGGCTCTCCTTCCGCGCACATTCATTTTCAGGCGTACAACAGTTTCCATGATTCGTATGGTCGGAGCCCTCGGAATGCTGTTCGGGCGCGACATAGGATTGTGAGAACGCAGCAGTCACATCGATTCGCGGTGTAGAAGTCGCAGGAACAGCGTTCTGGCACGATCTAACATTGTCAGGACGCCACAGGTGCATTGATCCCCGACGTTGAAGTCGTTGGAACGGTATTTCGGCACGGTTGCAAATTCTCAGACGATTGTTTTCGAATGGATTTTCCCGCAATGAGGAACCTTTCGTTCAGGAACCCATGGACCCGGAGCTTGAAGGGAGGGCTTAGTGCAGCATCGTTGATGCATCCTGGGTTTATACTGGTCCTCTTCCTCCTCCTCCTTCTCCTCCTCTTCCTCGTCCTCCCTCCCTCCCTTATCCCTCCCTTCCTCCTCCCTCCCTCCTCCCTCCCTCCTCCCTCCCTCCGTCCCTCCTTCCTTCTTTCCCCCCCCCTCTTTCCCTCCCTCCTTCCTCCCTCTTCCCTCCTCTTCAGCATCCGCATCAGCATCCTCATCATCATCTTTCCTCCCTCTCCTCTTCCTCCCCCTCCGATTGGAGGAGGAGGAGGAGGAGAAGCACACGCGCACAGCGAGCACAGGAGGATTCGATGGTCGCCAAGGGCCTCGACGATAGCCTAGGCCTGGGGCTGTCTGCGGACGACTTCAAGGGAGTCTGCAGCTTCAAGGAGCGAGGGGCGAGGGTAGGCGTGCGTGCGCGCAGAAGGGGGGGAGGAGGAAGAGGAGAAGGAGGAGGAGGAGAAGGAGGAGGGCGACGACGATATTTATACATCCCAGACGCATCAACGATGTTGCAACAAAAAGCCCTCCATGCAAGCTCCCCCTTTTTCATATGTCAGTACAACAAGTTGTTTTCATTGTTGCCTCCACTGTTGGAAGACAACCGCTTAATAAAATTCAACCGTGGCAAAACACGACTCTTGGATTACACAGTTCTCTGGACGTCTACACCGCGGATCGACGTGATTATTGTTGTTTGGCGGTCCTAACTTGATTATTGTGGTTTGGCGGTCCTAACTTGTTCCAGAACATTCCTGCGACGCCAACCACAAGATCCATGTGAACCAGAACCACCTTCTGATCTTGAACCGTCTGCGCCAAGGCGCAGCTGCGTGGCTATAAGGCGAGAGCCACAGTGTGACCCGTTTTCCGCCCGCGAAGGTATGGCAAATGTTTAAGATAAATGCGCGCGGCGCTGGTGCGAGAGCCACAGTTTGAGAAGGAACCGCCCTCCATCCGTGAAGATCTTGCGGATGAGTTTGGCAATTGTGCGTTGTGCTAAGGCGGGAATCACAGTTTGAACCCAGCCCGCCTTCCATGTGCGACGTGCTGGAAAACTTTTCAGACGACTGCGCCCGTCGCCAGGACGAGAAGCGCATTCTAAAAAGTGTGTCACCCTCAATCCGTGAAGGTCTGGCACACCTGTAAGACGAATGCGCGCGGCCGTGAAGCGAGGACCACATTTGGAAAACGGCCCACCGTCCATCCGTGGAGCTCTCGTGCACTTCTACGAGGAACTTGCGTTGCGCTGAGACGATACCCACATTGTGGGGGACGAAAGAAGGAACCGTCCTCCACCGGTGGAGCTCTTGCACACTTGAAAAACGAATGCGCACGGCGCAAAGGAGGGGAGCACGGTTTGGGAAGCCTTTCGAGGCGAATGCGCGCAGCGTGTGTAAACGCTCCCCATCCATGAAACTCTCGCCCAGGTTTAAAGGAATGCGCGCGGGACCGAGGCGAGAACTGCAAGACGAATGCGCGCGGCGCTAAGGCGGAGCCACATTTTGAGAACCACGCGCCCTCAACCAGTGAATTTTTCGCAAATTATGATAGGCGGGCGCGCGCGGCGTCGATGCGGGTGCCACGTTTTGAAAAGGAGCCGCCATCCATCAGTGAAGCTCTTGAGAAGGCTCAAGACCAATGTGTGCGGCGCCGAGGCTAGAACCACACTTGGAAAAGGGCCCGCCCTCCATCCGCGAAGCATTCGCTGATCGTTTAGACTTGCGCGCGCGGCGCTGAGGCGGAGCCGCAGTTTGAGAAGGAGCCGCCCGCTGTCGGCGAAGCTATCCACATTTTTCAAGACGAATGTGCGCGGCGCTGAGAAGGGAACCACATGTTGAAAAGGGCCGCCCCCGCCATCTGTGAAGCGGCTGCAAGTTTAAGCTCCAGGGCCATCAATGGCGCGGGCGTCTCTGGCGAATTGCCCGGCCCACCCTACCAGCGCCATTCGAGGTGCGAGAATGACGAGTTGCGCTGGCCAGCGTGGGCCCCAAGCATTGTGTTTTTGACAATAAACACAGTACATCCTATGTGGGGCCATCTTTGTGGTGCAATATGTGTGGCGCAGTGTGTAGTGGTGAAACTCGTGTTGCGTGATCAATCTGGCTCAGTCTATGTTGCGCGATCTATGCAGTTCAACCGATGTGGTGCAGCCTACGGGTTTCAATGTACGTTGTGCAGTCTATGCGACGCAGTCGAGGTTGCGCACAGTATGTGTTGCAATATACGCGGTGCAATATATGGTGCGTGGCTCAAGTGGGGCAACATGCGCGGCGCTAGGTTTGCGGCGCAACCTACGCGATGCAAGTGCGTTTTTTCGCAGTGGTTGTCGGCCCCACTCCTCGCGCAATCGCCCCCCCCGCGCCCGCCCGCCACTTGGTCTGTGCCGTCCATGCGGCGGCGATTGCGACGAGTGCTCGGCGCTGGCTGGCGCATCGCCGCGGCCGCTTCAGCGCGCGCATGCTCGCGCGCAGAACAGGCTCGCGCGCAGGCCGCGCCCGCGCGCGAGTACTTAGCGCGATTCGGCGATTCGGGCGGGCGCGGTCTCGCGGCGACGTCGACGACGGCAGACGCGTCGATGATAGCGGCGTGCCAGGCTGGCGACAATGACGACGACGACGACTGCAAGGCCAATGACGGTGCCAATGCTGATCGCGCCGATGACGACGATGGTGCCCACGCATCCAACTTATAGAGTCTGGGATGATTTCGACATGCGCGCGCGGCCAATGCACGCGAGTGGCCCGCGCGCCACGATGCGACAGGAATCTAGCCCCCCACCCCCCCAGGGGAAAACAATGTTTGTTATTTATATATATATATATATATATATATATATATGTATGCACGCATATATATATATATATAAGTAGAAAATGCTCAGGGGCGTTCGATTGCTTTCGAAATGCAGTCGCGAGAGGCCCGCTTGCTCGCAGTGGATGGACACGCTGAACACTTGCACTTGCGCGAGGATTCGCAGGGGCGCGCGCGGACATTTGAAAACCGAATGCTGCAACAAAAACATAAATACATTACGTGCTTCCTTGGAGTTGGGTCTTGAAAACCATCCGAAAAAAACGAAGCCGCTGGGAAGCGTCGCGGCGCGCGCGCGAGTCGACTGCGCCCCATCTGTCGCAAGGGGTTCTTGGAAACTGATGACGATCGATAAACGAGGGCGCGCGAACTGCATTGCGCGCCGGGGATCGGGGCGCCGACGCCGGCCGCGCTGGCCGCATTAGCGACTGGACAACCTCGCACGTAAATTGCACCATCCCCGGGGGCGCCGCGAAACCCAGGGGGGGATTTTGATGGGACTACTTGGCGCAGTTAATTTGCATTCGCAACGTTGCCTGCCCAGCTGCTCGGGCAATCACCCCGCCCGCCCATCCGCGACTTGGTTCGCAGAACCCACGCGGCGCATTTGATGCGCGCGCGGAGTCGGCCGGCGCATCCCCGCGGCCGCGGCGGCCCGCGCGCGCTCGCGCGCGCGGCGGCCAGTTAGCTCGACGCGACCAACGCGGCCGCGGTGGCGCTGACCGCAGGGCGCCTCCCAGCGGAGCGGGCACTTCAGCGCGAGTCGGCCGCTTGGGCGGGCGCCGCGCCGCGGCAATATCGAAAACAGGAAAAGCGATGACGATGGCAGCGATGCCGGCGGCGACGACGTCAGCGACGACGGCGAGGCCTGCGACGGCGCCAATGCCGATCACGCCGACGACGACGACGGCGCCCTCGCGTCGGCGATGAAGGTTCGGGAGGGAGGTCGACGCGCGCGCGGCCGACGCGCGACAGCGGCCCGCGCGGCATTATTGGGCGCGGATCGCCCCCCCCCCCCCCCCCCCCCCCCAAGCACGCGCGCGGGGGCGTTCGACTGGTTTAGACGCGCGGCGCGAGGGGCCCGCTCGACCGACATATGATCCCCGCGCGACCCTACCTAGGAGTTGGAGCCTTTAGGACAGCAGCATGCTGCGCTATGCTGTGCTACGCTGCGCTATGCTATGCTACGCTATGCTATATCATGAGTTGCTGTGCTATGCTATGTTGCGCTGTGCTATGCTAAGCTAAGCGATGCTATGCTTTGCTATGTTATGTTATGCTAATGCGATGCTGCGCTATGCTATGCTATGGTATGATATGATATGCTATGATGCGCTATGCTATGCTGCGTTATGTTATGCTCTGATATGCTATGATATGCTATGATATGCTATGCGAATGCTTCGCTAAACTAAGCTGAGCTAAGCTAAGCTGGGCTAGGTTAAACTAAGCTAAGCTAAACTAAGCTAAACTAAAGTTAAGCTAAGTTAGGCTAAGCTAAGCTAAGCTAAACTAAGCTAAGATGGGATAAGCAACACTAAGCTAAGGGAACGTCACTGGGGGAACCGCGAGGCGGATCCGGGGGGAACCGCCCGGGGCGGGTTCCATTGCCTTGCCCTGTAAGCATACCGAGTAAGAGCCCTTCTAGGCAGAGCCTAGGTAGGGAATTCGATGCACACGTTGAAAGACCTATGGCTTAGTTGAGAATTCGCAGGGGCGCGAGCGCAGGCGCGCGTGAAAATTGGCGCTGTAAAGCCATGCGTTTTTCATGCGCTTTCGGGGCGTTCGATTTCTAAAATCCTTAGGAAAGTTACGAAACCCGCGGTTGTTGAAGAATGTCGGCACGCGCGCGCACTTCTTCCAGATTTGTGCGAAGGGCTCTTGCGACAGCACGCGCAAGGGTGCTCCGGCGATTCCGACATGCGCGCGCGAAAGGCCCGTTTGGTAGAAAGTTATGCACGCGTTGATAAACCGGCGGTTTTGTTTTCAGCAAGAGCCCGAGCGCAAGTTTTTCTTTGCGTTTGAATAGTTTTGGTGCGAGACCAAGCGTTGTATTTGTGTTCGGGGCGCTCGCCTTTGAAGTCTTCGCGAAACCAAGGTTTTTGAAGAATGTCGGCACGCGCGCGCGACGACGCGCGCGCGTGCACTTCATCCCATGTTGTTGCAAGGGGGGGCATGCAGGCTAACGATGCGCGATGAACGGGCGCGCTCGCAGGTTTATATACAGATATATACATATGTATATGTATATATATATATATAAGATAGATTATATGTATGTGTATATATATGTATATACATATATACATATATATATCGGGTGATGAGGGGGCCGTCATTGGTCTGGCTGGGGCGATCTTAGTTGAGATTCAGGATGGACAATGGGGCAGAATCATATGTATTTTGCATTGCGAAAAGTTGATACATTAAGCCAGGGGGCGAGGTAGATCCTGTTATTCTTTGAGAAAGGAGAATATATAGTGCTCACTCCGTGTAGCGCGACTCTACCTGCCCAACATGAAGGTGCCACTTCCACTGATTACTCGCGCAATCATCCCACCCGCCCACTTGCAAT